GGGGCCCCCCTCCTCGCACCGAGGAGCCCCACTTTCCCTCCCCCACTGGCTCTGAGAACCTCCAGGCAGGTAGCCCCATTACCCCTCCCCCACTGGCTCTGGGGCCCCCGTTCCTCGCGCCAGGTAGCCCCATTACCCCTCCCCCCCGGCTCTTGGTGGGGGCCCTTCCTCATGCGACGGAGCCTCCACTGGTCCTGGGCCCCCCTCCGCGCCTGAAGATGCCGCACTGGTGTACCTCCCCCATAAGCTCTCAGGGTACTCCCTCCTCACATGACAATCCTTCCTTCCCCTCCCCCCGGGCTCTGGGGAAACCCCTGTTCTCAATTTGGGGGTTCTCCTTCCCCCTTGCCTACTGTGAGAGCCCCACTGGCTCGGTCCTATTCCGGTGTGTGTACCCCAGGCAGCTCAATTAGAGGGTGTCCTCACCAGAAGAGTTGAATCACATTTGGGGAACCCTCACTCCTGTCCCTACATAAGGGAAGGAGCCCATAGGCCTTCATATTGCTTTTTCTTGCCCACCCCTACTTTATACACCTAGAGGCCCCTTATGGAAAGGAGGATCTAGTAGTTAGGACACTACCTAAGACTTAGGAGACCTGGATTTGTTTCCTTGCAATGACACAGGCTTCCTTTGCGATCTTGAGCAAGATATTTAGCCTCTCTGTGCCTCAGTTTCCTGCTTGTAAAATGGACTAATGTAGCACTTCTCTACCTGACAGGGGTGTTACAAAACTAGATATGCCAAAAATTATGGTGCACAATAACACAATAGCAAGAATGATTTGTATACCTTAGTGCCTTGAAGTGCTAGACCAGTGACTTACTGACTAAAAGAGGCTTAAATGTACATTTAATGTGAAAATGATTTATTGCAAGATGTAATTGGAACTGAACTTTGTAACTTGCTTCAGATTTTTAGTACTGTATCTCAAGACTGGACATACTAATCCTTATAGTTTTACCCTTCCTCATGGGATGACTGGCTTGATTGCTTGACCCCTTAATTCCTTTTCTGTTCTTCTGTTGTGCCCTCAGAAGCCTTAGTTCTGAATGATCCAGAATTCCAACATGAAGATTTAAATTTCCTCTCACGCAGCCAGCGCTATGAGGTGGCCATCAGGAAGAGCGCCCTTATGGTGATGAAGCTAAGAGAGTATGGGATTGCAGATCCTGATGAAATCTACTGGTTTAAAAGGTACTGGACTCTGATGCAAAGTAGATGCTAGAAGAAAATTCTTCTGCATTATCAATGAAATTACTTTTTTTTCCTTTTAATCTTTTAAAGCGAACTAAGATCATGAGACACAGTCATTGAAGTCATGACTGCAGTGATCTTTGACTAAAGCCCTAATGCCCTAGATAAAATCTATTGGTTACAGTGTCTATTTCCTTAGATTCTTTTATTATCCAACTAAAAATGATAAAATCTTTAATGCCAATGATAGTAAAAATGTCCCTGAAACTGAAAACCTGGTTCTAAGTTAGCCTAAGGAATGAAATATTCTGACTTTTAATAAATGGCGTAAATTAGATCACTGTTCTTGGTGTCCTTCAGTGAAGCTCTATGAATAGAGCTATTGTCATAGCTGAAAAAGTTCAGAGTCAGTTTTCAGACAGAACAACACTTTTAGCCTTGAAATGTTTCTTTTTACCCAAATAAATTCTGACCTTCAGTTTAGCTGACCTTTTGCATTATCTAAGTTGAGGGAAAATCTTTGACAGTTGAATTAGACTAAGTTTAACTTGCCATGAACTTAGCCCTGAATATCATTAAGCACCTTTGACACAGGAAAAAACTTAGCTGAGAAATGTCTGATGTAGCTTTCAGTTAACTCCTTCAAATAAGGACTGCAAAGCTAGAATATCTAATAGCAGTGATTCTCAGACCTTTTGGCTTGTGGCCCACCCCACTCAATGCAGACTCTTTCATGAACCACCAGCCAATGTGACAAAATGGGTGAAGGAAGGGTGGAGGTGAGGTCTGGATGAGAGGTTGGTTGCAAGAGCAGTCTGAGGGTGGGAGGTGGAGTGCAGGAATCGGCTGAGGGTCAGAGGGTGGGTGCAGGAGTGGGCAGGTCAAGAAAGGAGGGTGCAGAAGCAGGGTACAGGTGTAGGGTCTCGGAGGGAGTGGGAGGCATGAGGAGAATGAGGGGGAGGTGCTTACCTGGCTCTGCACTCCCCGCTGCATCCATTGGCCAGGATTCTGGCCAACGGGAGCTGTGGGTTAAGCCTGCAGGTTTCGTGAGCTGCTGTTCCACCAGCCATGGAAGGAGGGAGCAGCAGGGTGCAGAGCTGCTTTCTTCTTGCACAAGCCAGATAAAGCCTGCAAAATTCCTTTTCCTCTCCATCCTGCAGTGTGAAGCTGCCACTGGTATTCCAATCTCGTGAGGTGAGGGAAGGACTGTAGGGCTAGTGCAGGTTCCCTGCTGCTTGAGGAGGACTGATAAGCCCCGAGTTCATGGCCCATCTTCAAGATGGGCAAGGACCACTAGTGGTCTGTGGATCTCTCTATGAGAACCACTGCCTAAGAGCAATGTACTGGGAGATATATTCAAAGTATGCATCTGATTGTACCTGCTTAGTACAACTCCTATTGAAATCCTGGAAAGGCTGGATTGGACAGATAAGTGAGGGCATCCTAATGCTGGGGGGAGCCCCAAGCCTCAAGGGCCGGATCCAAGCAAGCCGGAGGGGAGGGGGCTGTGTCTGGTCCCTGAGCCTCAGATTCCCCACCCCTGATTTAAATCATTGTTCTAGGGTGGGGCCAGGGAGGAGGAATTCACTTTGCAGGCTGCCCTGGAAAGAGGACAACACAGCAGCAACTTGGGGCTTCGTGAGATGAACCTGTCCATGGGCACTGCAGTGGGCACAGGCAGGGAAAGTGTATGTGTCCGCCGGCTGGGGGACAGACAGATACACACACAAACTCTCTGAAATACATAGTAGACTGCAATTGAGTTTCCTGATACTCTTTGCATTTACATTGTTTAACGTAATATTCTAATAATGTACAGGAGAATTTTAGCATTGAGTTAATATACAGCAGAAGAAATGTAGGGTACAATTTAACTTGCTTTTCAAACGACAATATGGAAGCATATGCTGAAATTTGTGTTAAGTAGGGATATGAATGGTTAACCGGTTAACGGGTAATGCTTACTCGTTATGGTTAACCCACCAGCCATGGGCAGGGGGATGGCTCCAGCCTACAAAGACTTGTAGGAGCAGGAGGCGGTCCTGTCCCATCAGAACAGTCCCAGTCTGTGCTGGCCCTGGCCCTGGCCTGGGCATGCTACAGGTAAGGACACTATGATTCAGCCAGAGCAGCCCCTAGCTGCCTCTGTTTAATTGGTTAAACTTAACAGTTAACTGATTAACTACTTAAACGTGATTTTACATAACGTTTTGGGCAAAAGATTTTTCCTTAATCAAAGATAATATGTAACTATACTTCAGGGTAAATGTTACAAAGTCCAGTAAGTGGGCCAGAGTTCAGTGTTTTTGAGTATCCTCCATTTTTCGTGTACCTAAATTATGTACAAAGACTAGTAGCATAAGACTCTTACATAGCAATTCAATAACACTTTGAGCAACTATTCATTTCTTGCTTCATTTTCCTTATCTGTATAATGGGAATAATACTCCACAGGGGCATTGTGAGGCTTGTTACAGACTCCTTCTTCTCTATTGCCTGCTAATGGTTCTTATTTGCCTCTTTTGACTATCCAGTCTTTAGGTGATTACAGACTATTTGTTTTTCCTGTTACATTCCAGCTAGGCTTTCCCCATGATATTTTTATACCCACTACCTCTTCTTGTCTACCCCCTCCTGCTCCTATATTGATTTTAGTTCTGGACATCCAGCACTCTGATCCTCTGAAGAAGTGTGCTGTGCCCACGAAAGCTCATGATACCATCTACATGTTTCGTTAGTCTTTTAAAGTGCTAACTATTGTTGTTTTTTAAGTTTATTCTGGAAATAGTTTATGGTCCTTTATCTAAGGTCTTATCCACGCAGGGAGTTAGTGAAATAGCTTCCCCAAGTAGACAAAAGATATTACAAAGTAGATTAAGGTGTGGACAACAGCTAAGTGCAAATTTTTATTAGGGTAACCAGTGAGACTTTAACTTAATTGAAATGTTTTTGTAACAAACCTTGGCTAAATATTTTAAAAAATTCATATTCTAGATTGAAATTTTCTGTGCTTTATAGCTGTCCAAATCTGAGCAAATTCCTTTTGTCACTTTATGTAACCTACAGAAACTTTTAAATAAACAAAAAAGAACTTTGAACTTGGGAGCTTGGTATGTAACTATCCCTTGTTGAACTATCAGAATGGAAAATGTGTGTTTCCAGATCTGCGTAGTGTCTCTTGATCTGTGATACTCAGATCTAAGTGATTCCAGAGCCAAATTAGCTGGCAACATTACTCGAGTCATAAGTAACGTGAATTCATTGTTTCATTTACCATTTTATTTGTTTGTTTATAAACCTCTTGAGGTTCCTTCTAGTTCTAGTATTCTATGATTCTATATATAATAATTCTCATAGCAAAATGACTGACCGAATATTATTATGAAAAAACTTAAACAACAAATACAGCCAGTCCTCGACTTACAAACATGTCGACTTATGACCATTCGTAGTTACAACCAAACCTCCCATTAAGTACATTACAGCTAGTCCCTGACTTACGAATGTGCGATCTGCGCTTACGAACAGCGCGGCTGCATTTAAATGAATGGGGTCTGACTTACGAACACATCGAGTTACGACCAAGTGTTTGGTACGTAACTCGTTCATATGTTGGGGACTGGCTGTAGTCTAGTAGCACCTTAAGACTAACAAAACATGTAGATTGTATCATGAGCTTTCATGGGCACAACTCACTTCTTCAGATGACGGGAGTATTAGAAGTCCAGATACAAGAATAAATAAGAGAAGGGGGGGAGGAGAAAAAGAAGGGGGGAAAAGAGACTTGAGTAAATGGTTCAAGCAGTTCTTTGTCAACTACAGTTGCTTAATAACATAGTAATTACTGTCTGGTTTATAACTTAGTTTGGTTAATTAAATCACACTGTTTTAACATCATGTGCTAGAAAGAACTGTAGGAGACACATTGAAGGTCCACTTGTGGCTCTCAAGCCTCAGACTGAGTGTCACTGCTCTAGATAGTCTGGGACCAACATGGCTACAGCTACAATGCATGCATTCAATAAGAAGAGTGAGACCAAGTTCAGGAGTCAAACTTGAATGCCCAGGATAAGTGGGATTTGAGCCAGCTGACTTGTGTTAGGGAACCCTGATTTTGAGTGTTTTACATTGCATTTTAGCAAAATGTTAAGACCTGTGTTTGAACTTAGGGCTGTAGGATCCAGTCTGCACTGTGTAGATCCACGTCAAAGTAACCACATCCCAGCATCCCTAGTCTCCTCCACCCCCAGAAATGTGATCACTTTAGCCCTAGGATTGTGGTGCACTGTGGGAAAACTTTACTTCCTGCCCATTACCAGGAAGCAGTTGGATTTCCAAAAGGTTTGATGGTTCACTTTACATTGCAAACCCAGGGGGGTTGCTGATAGTGTGTTTGCAGATCGATGATCAGAAGACAATGGGTATGGCAGTTTGCAATGGGCGGTGGCTTCCTGTTTCAATCTGGAATCCAGACTGTTGAGATGGAGAGGATTAAAGAAGTTGTTCCATTCTGTTGTGGGATATTTACAGCTAACTCACGGGACCCAAGGCAAGCAGCATGGCATCTACAATGCAGAGCAATAGGGCTTATACCAGTTGGCTACGTCTACACTGGCCCCTTTTCCGGAAGGGGCATGTAAATTTCACTAGTCGTCGTAGGGAAATCCGCGGGGGATTTAAATATCCCCCGCGGCATTTAAATAAAAATGTCCGCCGCTTTTTTCCGGCTTTTAAAAAAGCCGGAAAAGAGCGTCTAGACTGGCCCCGATCCTCCGGAAAAAGTGCCCTTTTCCGGAGGCTCTTATTCTTACTTTGAAGGAGCCTGCCTAATGCTCCCCACTGCCTCCGCGGGCTGCATCTGGTGGCTTGGTGGGCCAGATGTGGCCCACAGGCCATATTTTGTCCAGGCCTGGCTCATATCCTGGGTCCCAGTTTAACTCGAGCTTGGGCCCTCCAGCACTGCAGGGTCCTCAGAGCCTGGTTTTGAGCCCTGGATTAGG